CACTGGGCAAATCTGCTGCAAAAGGCCTCTTTAAAGTGCTAAAGAGCAAAGATGTCTCTCTGAAGACTAAGGGGAACCTAATGCAAGCCATGGTATTTTCAGTTGCCTTATATGCATGTGAAAGCTGGACAGTGAATAACAAAGACTGGAGAAGAGTTGATGCTTTTGAGTTGTGATGCTGGATAAGAATACTGAAAGTACCATGGAGTGCCAGAAGAACAAACAAATCTGTCTTGGAAAAAGTGCAGCCAGAATGCTCCCTGGAAGTGAGAATGACCAGACTTCATCTCACCTAACTTTGGTTATGTTGTTGAAAGCGGCCATTTCCTGGAGAAGGATATCATGCTTGGTACAGCGGAGGGTCGGTGAAAAAGGGGAAAGCCTTCAATGAAATGGACTGACACAGTGGCTGTTTACATATAGCAAGGATCATGAGGCTGGCGCAGGACTTGTTCTGTTGTACACAGAGTCATTATGAGTCGGAGCCGACTCAACGGCACAACAAAAACATAGTGTCACTATGAGTGTCACTATGAATTGACTCAATGGCAATGGGTTTGGTTTGTTTTTTGGTGTTAGTTCTATTTTTAGTTTTTTGAAGAACCATCACAGTTTTTCACAATGGCTTTACCATTTTGCATTCCCACTAGAATGGGTACGGGTTCTAATTTCCCCACTCCTTGTCAATAACTGTTATTTTCTGCTTTTTAGTATTAGTCATCCTAGTGGGAATGAAATGGTATCTCATTACAGCTTTGACTTGCATCTCTCTTATGGCTAATGACACAAAGCACCTTTCCATGTGTTGGTGGATATCTGAATATTCCCTTTAGTGAAACATCTACTCAAGTCCCTTATCATTTTATGATTAGGTTGTCTTTTTGTTATTAAGATGTCAAAGTTTTATATATATTTTGGTCATTAGATTCTCGTCAGATGTATGGTTTCCAAAAATATTCTTAGAAGAAATAGCAGTGGCAATGCTGTTGGGCCTAGCTTTTAACAATGGATTATCTAATATAATGACAAAAGCACAAAATGTAAGAGACAAAATAAATAGGACCTCATAAAAATTAAAAACTTTATTTTATCAAAAGATTTTACCAAAAATGTGAAAAGATAAGCTATTGACTGGGAGAATGCTCTTAGGTTTATAAAACTGTACATTTTTAATATGATTTGCAACAGCCAGTATCATGCTCTGTAATCTCATCTCTGACCACTTCTGTCCTTGTTTCCACTCTATCCAGACTGACTTTCTTTAGTTATTTAAGTACCACCTTTTATTCACCTGGCTTTCAAACATACTATATTCCCTCTGCTCAGAATACTTATACCACTCTCTTCTTCCAATTCCAATTCAACCTTAAGATTTTTAGTTTAAATATCATTTCTACAATGAGTCCTTTCCTCTCCCCATAATATGTCTCTATAAGAGTTTTGGTGGCCCTGTGGTTAAGGCATTAGGATGCTAAGCAAAAGGTCAATGGTTCAAACTTAGCAATTGCTCCATGGGAGAAAGATGAGGCAGTCTGGTTCTGTAAAGATTCACAGCCTTGGAAACACTATGGGGCTTGCTATGAGTCAAAATCCACTCAATTGCAATGGAGTTTTTTTGTTTGGACAGCACTATCTCCCCTTCCACAACAGTTATCACACTTGTAAATTACTTGTTGGTGTTTTTTAATTTTCTTTGAGGCTGTAAGTTCTTTGAAGACAATGATAGTGTCAGTCTCACCCACCAGCGTGTTCTCAACTGCCTGCTGCAAGGTTTTGCATTTGAAGGATGAAAAAGTATGGTGATATTATTAAACAGAAATAAGAGAATTTAGAAGGTAGATTTGGGAAGCTCAGCAAAATGGTGTAGAAAATAAAACACAGACTTAGTTATTAACATAACCAACCAAACCAAGCCAAACTCACTGCTATCGAGTCGATTCTGATTCACAGCAATCCCCATTAGGTTTCCAGGGCTATAAATCTTTATGGAAGCAGACTGCCTCATCTTTCTTCCACAGAGTGGCTGGTGGGTTCGAACCACTGACCTTTTGGTTATTAGCCAAATGCATTAACCATTGCTCCACCAGAGCTCCTTTAACATAACCAGTGAAGAGTAACTGGAGATTCAAGTAATATACAATTCTTCCTATAAGCTATAATAATTTTCTAACCTTTAATGAACTTATTCATCAAGCTCAAATCTGAGAATGATTAAATCGGAAAATATGCTATGCATGGTTGGTTTATTATTTTCAATGAAAGTTCATTTAACATTCAGAAAAAGAATGGGTACCTACTACATACAGGACTATGCTAGATACTCACCAAACCAAACCAAACTCACTGCCGTCAAATAGATTTCAACTCATAGTAACCCCCACTGAGTTTCCAAGGCAGTAAATCTTTATGGAAGTAGATTGCCCCATCTTCTTTCCGCGAGCAGCTAATAGGTTTCAACCACCAATCTTCTGGTTAGCGGTCAAATGCCTTAGACACTATGCCACCAGAGTTCCTTTTTGCACTAAAACAAGGCTAAAGAAGAATCATATACACCTGTTCTAACTTACCAACAAATGCTTAAAAACACAACAGTTAGGAACGGATCTCATTGATAACCTGGGGACTGCCTGTAATACCTACCTCAAAGGACTGTTTTGATTATTAGATGAATCAATATGGAAATTACTTGGCATAATGCTTGGTACACAATGGATATTGTCAGTAATTGTTGACATTTAAAAGGTATAATTTAAGCAAACATGGAATAGAAAATTCCACTCAATATGTAACAACAACATGTAAACTTTAGTTCTATATTTTTGCTAGAAATAAAAGTGGAGATAAAAAGGGAAATAAAGGTATAAAAAGAAATGAAAAGACAGATACAAAAAGAGAAGTAAAAAGAATCATAAAAGAGAGGCGAAACACTGGTGAAAATATAGTTGTGTTTTAAATAGGCATAAACAAGTACCTGCCTAGGTCACAAAGCAAGCCTCAGTAATTTTAAAAACATTGAAATACTACGGAGCATCTTCTCAGATTACAATGCTATAAAATTAGAAATCAACAAGAGGAAAGAAAGGAAGAAAAATCAGATATGTGGAAACTGAGTAACATCTTGTTTAACAGCTACTGGGTAACAGAAGAAATGAAAAATGAAATTAAAGAAATTCCTCGAATCAAATGAGAATGAAAATTCAGCATACCAAAAAAATTTGGGACACAGCAAAAGCAGTGCTCAGAGGTCAATTTATAGCAATGAATGGACACATCAAAGAAAAAAAAATAAGAACCAAAATCAACACATTAACCCATAATCTCCAACAATTAGAAAAAGAACAGCAAAAATGCCTACAGTCACCAGAAGAAAGGAAGTAAGACTAGAACAGAAATAAATGAAACAGAAAAACAATAGAAAGAATCAACAAGATCAGACACTAGTTCTTTGAAAGGATTAATAACATTGACAATCACTGGCAAATTTAACAAAGAGAAGACAGAAAATGCAAATAAGAAGTAGGCGATGTCTCAACAGACCCAACAGTAATAAAGAGGTATCTGCCAATGGGCAGGAAGTCCCTCACACTTGATTAGAAAGTTGTTCTTATAAACATAATATATTCAAAATAATTCTATGGTGTTTTCAGAGAAATTAAACAAAGTTTAAATAAACCCTACAAGAGATTATATAAAAAATAATAATTTCCAACAAGCATTGGAAAGGAGAATATTTTCTAAGAACTTCAGCTTAAATCTCTAACATTATTTATATTCTGCTAATGATCTGGTAGCATAGTGGCTAAGACACTTACCTGCTAACCAGACGGCTGGCGGTTCAAACCCACCAGCCACTCCTCGGAAGGAAGGTTGGGCAATCCTATTTCCATAGTGATACTGCCTCGGAAACCCAAGGAGGGGATGCTATGAGTCGGGTTTGACTTGACGGCACATAACAACAACAACAACAACAAATGATCTGTACAGGAGCTCTGGTAGCACAATGCCTAAGGCACTTGACTGCTAACCAGAAGGCTAGTGGTTCAACCCACCAGCCACTCCTGGTAGGGAAGACTGGGGAATCTACTTCCATAGAGATACCGCCTGGGAAACCCCAGGAGGGGTTGCTTTGAGTCGGGGCCGACTGGATGGCACATAACAACAACAACAACAATGATCTGTATATGAAGGTGCCTTGGTAGCACAGTAGTTAAGTGCTTAGCTGTTAACTGAAAGGCTAGCCATTCAAAACCACCAGTTGCTCCACAGGAGAAAGATACAGCAGTCTGCTTCCATAAAGACTGCAGCCTTGTAAACCCTACAGTACAGGTTCTACTTTGCCCTATAGGGTTCACTGTGAGTTGGAATTGACTTAAAGGCAACAGGAATGATCTGCATAATAGAGAAGGAACAAAAATGATCTAGGAAGTCTCTTTTGTGAAAAAGAATATGTACTTATGCTGTGGCTAACCTTTTGTTATCCTGGTCTGATACAATGTTCTTAAAACCTTTAATCCTTAGAAATGAATGTCCTTTATGTATGTTCTTAGAAAGACCAAAATTTTCACTTAAGAAGTGGAGGTCTGGGGAGATGGGAAAACACTGAGAGGGTTGAAGAGAGTACTAACAACCACCTCTGGATTTCTAGGGGAAAAGGGGGCAGACCTGATTCTAATCTCAGCTACCTCTTAAAATCTTTAGGCAAATTAAGGAGGAAAAAACATAGTGATAAGGAGAGTAATAATTCTAGTTCTGTGCAGAAGAAGAACTGAGAAAAAGTATAACCAGTAATACATGCAGGTAAACCACTAATACACGCAGGGTAAGTGCCTTAGGCACTACGCTACCAGAGCTCCTAAGTGTAGTTAATCTAAGTTAATTAACAGTATAGTTGATCTTCTTAGCTAAACCTCTTAACAAACTTGAAAATTAAATTAGAAAAAAAATTCTAAGGCCATATTAAACATTTGTTTTAAAATATTAGACTGCAAACATTTCCTTACCTCAAAGTCATCATCATCACCTTCAATGTAATGTGCATGGTTGTCTGGATTGTTCACTTTATCCAACAGTTCAACTGCTAGGGCCCTAGAGAGACCTGGCTGCCCAACAAAAGTATGCTAAGTAAAAACAAAACAAAATTTCATGAGTATGTCTTTACATCTATAGCATATTTGAAAATTTATTTGTGCTTTTATATCTAGTAACTATTACAGACATACATATGGGAACCTACTGATACAAATAAATCAGAAAATGTATTAGTAAAATGTTAACAGAGAATCCAGAACTACATATAGCTAAAAAATCTTCATGCTGCAAGTTAAGAACATGAATAATTTCTTTATATAGAGCTATTTAATCTGTATTACAGGTAAAATTTTATCTATGGCTATATCAATGATATTCATTACCATGTCCTTATATTGAGATACAAATAAATACTGTGGATAGTCCAATAATTTCACAATAGGAAAAAAAAAAGAATCGCATGTATTCTACTATGTTTAATTCTACAAAACTGTGCTACTGTATAAAGATTTATATAATTAAATATTGTAACAATGCAATAGAACTACTGGGCTGTTGTAATCACTGACTTTTTTAAATAAAAAATTTTAAACACACAAATATACCCAGAGCATTCTGTAAATTTACAAAGGAAGCCATGAAAAACAATTGATCTTAGATAACAGTAACATTTTTAAGAGCTTTCTCTAAGGCAGGAGTTACCACACTATGGCCCATGGGCAAAATCTGGTGCATTATCTCTTCTTGCAAATAATGTTGTACTGGAACATAGCCATACTCATTCCTATCCACTATGGCTGCTTTTGCCTACAATGGCAGAACTGAGTGGCTGCAATAAAGACTATATGGCTCACAAAGCCTAAAATAATTTCCATCTAGCCCTTTACAGAGTTTACCAAGCCTTCTTTACAGAGTTTACCAAGCCTTGCTCTAAAAGGACATTAACATCTCTATATTAAAAACCTAAATACTTTTGTTCTAATGATTGGTTAATTGCTGTTTGACTACAGGAAATCCCCCTAAAATTTCAATGACTTACAGTCAGAAGTCTTTCAGCAGTTGGTCTTTTTTTGGGGTTTTTGGTTAGTGCTATTTTGACAAAATTATGGAATGTTGATGACCTTCAAATAGAAAGAGACATGTACAAAAATATTTCACCAGTATTAGTTTTTTTTGTGTGTGTGTTACTAAATAAAATTAACTTATAAGCAGTTAGTAAGTTTGAAATACATGTTTTTTTCCATAGGCCTCAGCCCTAATCAAGCCAAAAAACGAAATCTACAGCATAGTATACTGCCTAGAAACATCGATGTCAGTTTTATCTCTTAAGTAAAATGCAATTAGGTAACAGAATAGTAATGTAAAACCTCTAAAAAAGATATTAAAAATTAGAAATGGGCAGATTGAGTCTTATGATTTGTACATGTGTGTCCCAGGTATCATGTAGGAATCAAAATGACCTTTTCTCATTTCCTAATTTATGTAACAGATAAGTGTTCTTGCTATACCAAAACAGCAATGGAGGTACATGGATGGCATGGAGGTACAGGGGGGCCAGTGTAAGAGACTACAATATTTAAATTCTAAAAAGGCACTGAATTTAAGAAAGAGAACAAAGAAGAAGGAGAAATTTTAGCAATCAGAAGAGTTTTCTAGCCACCTGGATCCATGAGATAGAGAAGGCAGAAAATATAACATATTTAATCATGTTTTGATTATTAATTAATGGCAAAGAAAGTATTTCCACCATTGTCAAAATTGACTGGAGGAGAGACAGGCTAGAACAAAAGAGATGGACTAATCTGAGTGATTGCTTAGCAATGACAGCAACCACACAGTTCTCCATAAAGAAATCAAATTACTGCACTGCATGTGGTGGCTCATTTGGCAGAGACAGCATGGAGTCAGATAGTATCTGTCTGGCAAAAGTTCTCCAGTGCTAATGACTGCAATGGAATCTGACAGTGCAGATAAATAGTGAATTTACTGTTTATAGCTTAGAGTCACTCATTCCTGAATGTTCAGTCATTCCTGTCATAAAGTCTTCCAGTTCCAGATACCTGGAAACTTAGGGCACAGAAGTAAGAGAGAAACCAGCATCAATACAAAAGAATATAGCTAACAATAGTATATAAATTTCTTGTCTTCCAAAGCATGATTTGCCTTTCACTATTGGCATCATCCCCCACATGGCCCAGATCCTAAATAACACTATGAATAGGCAGGCTAACTAAGCACAAAGCAGTGATTTAGAACCTTCTTTGGGGGAGGGACCTCTTAGAAACTGAGATAAGCTATGGACTCCCTTCTCAGAAAAAAACAGATACACATATAGAATTCTGGGAGCTCATGAATCACCAAGAGATTAAGAATTAACACATAGATATAGAATTCCTAAATTTAGGAACTTGGCAATTTTTATGTACATAGATTTTTTATTAAACATAAACCAAAAAACCAAGCTCACTGCCCTCAAGTCAGATCTGACTTGACCCCTCCTTGGGTTTCTGAGGCAGTATCACTACGGAAGTAGATTGCCCAATCTTCCTTCCTTCCGAGGAGTAGCTGGTGGGTTTGAACTGCCACCCTTCTGGGTAGCAGTCAAATAAATGTCTCAGGCATTATGCCACCAGAACATACAAGAACAGTAAAATACCAAAAACGTAACTGTTAATTTTTATCATACAATTGAAGATATCCTTATAGACTATATATGTGCTTTACCTTGCATGAGGAAGAGATGAGGATAAAAATAAGTAATAACCTTTTTTGAGTAATACGAAAGAAAAGAAAGAAAAACCAATAGAAATTGATTGTAAGTGTCATAGTATCTGGGAAACCTCTTCATATCATCTCCCATGAAAGTCAGCATGTAAATGGGAGCAAAGGAATGCAGGGCAACAATAGATAAATCTCCAAAATCTTAATGTATCCATTTTGTGGATATCCATTTGTACATATTTCAAATTCTTTCCTCACTGTACTCTTGCACAAGCTGGCCAAAAAAACTAAGAAAATGACTGAGTTTTATGAGAGGCAGTAGTGGATGAGTAAGAAGCCTAAAAATAAACCGAGATCCTTGCCTTAATAGCTCTGCAAGTAAATGACCTATCCTGTGTAACTTCTGGCAAACTGCTTAATGCCTCTAGGTTTCAATTTCATCTATAAAATAAGGGAACTGAACTTGTGTTCCTTACAACTATAAAATTATATAAGTCTATATATTCTTTAAACTCACCATTTTGTTTTGTCCTTTAGCTTTGGAGGCTGAAAATTACTTTTTGACATTAAGAAGAGGGCTCTGAAATACAAATTTCAGTTACATAAAATCAATACCAAAATACTCATATACATGCAATAATCAGAATGAATACTCTGTAATGCATTTATACAAGATTACTACTTATATAGGCACTGATGAAAATTGGCATGAAATACAAAAATTGAGGTTTTTGTAATTTTGGACAGTTCATGGAAATTTTCTCCTGGCTATAGAGAAGATCTTTAAACTTCAAATAAGCCTTCACTCACAAGGCAAAGCTACCACATTAGAGAAGCGTGTTATTATCATACTGTTACATCTATAACTAATATTGTATCTTAAGCAATGTCTATATAATTGTATGTCAGTCTGTAACACTGAGATAATACATTACTCTAACATTAGGTTGTATGTTTAACCAAATACTGCTCTTTACTATTATTTTGTGTGTATAAAAGCCAATCCTATCCATTTCCTGATCTGTTTCTCTTTTCACACAATAATTTTACATATTCTCATTTACATGAATGACACTGAAGTCAATCTGAAAGAGGACTTTCTTTCTCCATGAATTCATCTCTGACTCATTTTCCCACGGATTATATGTAGGTAGAAGAATAGAGGATTTAAGAAGGAAGTTCTAAAATCCTCTATTTCATTTTTTATATAAAACTTCTTCCAGAATGATTCATATGTAAAGGAAAACTGAAAAAGACCTATACTCCTATCACCCTAAGACAATAACTATTTAAAATGTCCTGTTCTTTTCAGATTTTTTTCTAAGTACTTACCAATTACTACATTACAATTACATTATATAAAATACTGCATTCTGCTCTTTCACTAATAATTAATTTTATTAATTGCTAAGTAATAATTTATAATTCAAACAATAACAGCACATTGTTTAGACTAACAGTTAAAAAATATTGTTAGACACTTAGATTTTTCCCCCTCTTATCCTAAAAAGGCTAATTCTTCAATTTTTCTTTTTTTGGATTACTTCCTGAATATAATTTCTAAGTAGTGAAATCAGTGAACCATTTCTCTGTCCTTAACAAATGAAACATCAAGTTATTTTCCTAATGGTCTGTACTCATCTACATTCTAGCTAAAAGTAAGGATCTTTTAGCTTGTGAGGTTGAAGGGTATGTTTCTTCAGTACATGGTACTTCCTCATAAACTAACTTTTATCTCTTTGTTAAAGGGGGGGTTCTCTGAGTTTCTTATGTAATCCTTTGTCTATTACATGCCAGGAGAACATTTTCTCCATTCTGTTGATTTTCTTTTTAATTTTATACCAAAGTTTTACATCTTAGTCCCATTAATGCTTTCCCTCAAAATACTGAAAATCTTTCCAAAGGCCTTCAAACACATAAATGTAAATATATATGCTAAATAAATGCTAAAATGTAAATAATTATAATAAGCATAGTGATCACTTCATTATCCCTAAAGAAAGTAAAAAGAAACAAAATCAAACAAGAATATATATATATTTTTTTTAAAAAATCTCATCTTCATTTCTTTAAAATTCTAATTAGGACAAAAAAGAAAGTAGTTGAACTGATGAAAGAATTAGTCTACAGAGTCAAAAAAAAACCTTTTTAAGGATGATAACTGCTATCACCTAATATGATTATTCTGAGAAGATTCTTTCACGGAAATGCCTTAAAGTGAATAGACAACTCACTATATGCTGTTTTAGGTACAGCAATACCAGAGGAAAAGGTTTAGGTAAAATTATCTCTAAGTCCCTTATGCATATCTTTATTATGCTGACACACTGGAAAATGAGCTTGGAATACTTGATTTATCAGTAATTAACAATCTCCCAAAGACTTTTTTGATAACTGTGTAATTGTAAATAATGAGAACACCTCATTGGATGAAGATCAAACATAGGTGGTTGAAGTTCTCCAAGTTCAATTGCTGTTATTCCTACTGCCCAGATATCACAGAGTTGGTTGTATCCACCATTCTTTTCTACTGCTGCAACTTCTGGGGCCATCCTAGAAGGAATCAAAGAAAATAATATTTTTATTATTAAAAATATGAAATTTACTACCTCTTGATATATTCACTATATTCGTAAAGTTGAATGAAAGAAATTAGAAAACAGAAAAATATACTACTCAATAAAATATTTCAACTAAAAACTTCAACGTGTGTATTTAAAAGTATTTATTTAAAAGAATATGATGTTTTCCTATCTTTGGGGAAAGAGATCAAGATAATTAATATTCTTGTAGAAAACTGTGGAGAAACTCTAAGGGTGTTACAATGACTGGGGCCAAGCATCTCTAAATAATTTTCCAGGAATGGGGATGTAGATCTGATGGACAGACATGATGTCGGAGTAAAAGAAAATGATCACAATGGAGAAAGGTAACTGAAAGCAAGCTTCATGGAGGAAAGAGGTTGAGCTTCAGCCCAGGGAAAATAAACAGCTTTTATCTCCTCTGCCCAGTGGAATCAGTTAGTGGAGGCTAACTGGAGTACAGATGACCAGGATGGTTATACTTCCTGGCAGAGTGGGAAGGACAGCTGTGATCAATCAATCTGCCATGAGTGAAAAAAAGGTGGAGTGTATGCCATTCATACTCACAGGAAGAGCTTAAGATAAACACAGAAAATGAGTATTTTAGGAAGGTAATGAACAAAATGAAAGCAGTACTATTTTTTCCGGTATAGTTAGGGTACAGAAAACCAGTTTTGACTAGAGAAGAACGTTCACAAGGGAGGTTGTCTCGAGTAAGGAAATAAGCCTAAGATGAAGAAAATTCTATAGTCAATTTTCACCTGTGTTTTCTTTTAACTTTTAAGTGACAGGGTTTTTTCCCTGGTTAAAGAGCTCTGGTGGCATGGTGGGTAAGACATTTGGCTGCTAAACAGAAGGTCAGTGGTTCAAACCCACAAGCTGCTCTGCAGGAAGAAGATCAGGCACTCTACTTCTGAAAAGATTTACAGCCTTGAAACCCAATGGGGGTCGCTATGAGTCAGAACCAACATGATGGCAGTGGGTTTGGTTTGCGTTTTTCCTCATTATTAAACGTAATATGTTGACTAAAGAAAATTTGGAATACATTAAAAAAAAAAACAGGGAAGAAAATAATTCAAGTGCAATTCCCTCCAGAGAGTGCTTCTATTTCACACATTTTCATCCACAATTTTTATTTAAACACACACATACACAAACACAGTTTATAAAGTGATATGCTCATATGCTACTTTTTAATCTTGCTTTAATATATGAGTCTCTCACCATTTAATCAGCTTATATGATTTTTAATAGGGACATATTATTTCATTAAACAAAAGTACATAATTTCTTTTAACTAATTACTTATATTCATATTTCCTGCAATTTTCCATCAATAAAATATTGTGACAAAGTTCTTCACATACAACTCTACAAACCTCTCTAACAAAATTATTACAAGTAGAATTATTGTGACTAAAAGGTATAAACATTCTTTAAGGTTTTTAAAATATTGTTGCCAAATTATCCTTCAAATTTTTCCTACCAATTTCTACTTCCATTATCAATTATTCAATAATAATGGGTATTACCATGATTCTGAATAGAATTTCACTGTATATTTAAGTTTGCGTTTTTATCATTGAGGATAAACATTTTTCATATGCTTTATATAAAATATGCTTTATTTTAGAACTATTTTTAATAAGACATTATCTTACTGATTTTTAAGCACTTAATATATTTAAAGATATTAAAACTACTTCGTCGTATTTTTGCCAGTATTTCCTGGTTTGTTGCTTGCTTTTTAATTTTGTTGATATCCAATTAAGCTGACGGATATATACAAGTTTCAAATTTTCAAGTTGTTAAATTTATCAGGTTATCCCTTTAGGGTTTTATGCTTTTATTCCAAGAAAAGTTTCTTCAACTATGAAAGCCGACAGTCACTGCTTTTGGTTTCACTTTTATATTTAATGTTTTAATCCATATACAATTTATTTTGGCATTAGGTATGAGGTATGGAGCTACTTTAAATTTCTTTCCAAACAATTATCCAAACAATGCTTAGTAAAGAATCTAATCTTTCATGTACATTTTAAATGTCATCTTTTATAACATTTACTAAAATATTTTACATATTAAGATTTATTACTAGGCTTTCTATTGTATTTCAATGATCTGTCTGTATCAACAACAAAAGCAGTGTTTTAGAAAGGTTATTTTCAGTAATTAGTAGAATGCACCAGAATTAGGAGTGGCTGGTGTAGACCAAAGGAATCCTGGTGGTACAGTGGTTAAAGGGATTGGCTGCTTGCTAACTGAACAGCTGGTGGTTTGAACACACCACGTGCTTTTTGGGAGAAAGTTGTTACAGTCTGTTTCTGCAAAGATTACAGCCTTGGAAACCCTATGGAACAGTTCTACTCTATCCTACCGTGTCACTATGAGTTAGAATTGACTCCACAGTAACAGGTTTTGTGCAGACTACATGGTAGAGTAGGAAGTAAGAATTTTAATCATGAAGAAGTAAAGCTGTAGATTAAAACAGAAACAACAATACAAGAAAATTAAAAAAATGTATTTCTTCTGTAAAGTCTCACACCATACGAGTCCTCTCAAAACAAGATCCCAGCGCAGTAGAAATTGTTAGTATCTTAACACAGGGAGGCTTTTTGTTTGGGGGTGGCTCTGTTTTAAGGCCGGGGCCCAAGGTAGGTGGGCCTGGGGCTCAGCAGCTGCTTTTCGCTTATTGTTGTTTGCTGTTGAGTTGGACCCGACTCATAGCAACCCCTCCTTGGGTTTCTGAGGCAGTATCACTACGGAAGTAGATTGCCCAACCTTCCTTCCGAGGAGTTCACTTAGGGGTGGCTTTATTTTAATGCCGGAGCCCAAAGCAGGCTGACGCAATGGGGTTAGGAACAACTAAGAGGGATGAACTTGTCTGTCAGTATGTCATCCTGTGGTGGCTTATGTGTTGCTGTGAGGCTGGAGGCTATGCCATCAATGTTGCAAAATGCCAGTAGAATTACCCATGTGGACAGGTTTCAGTGGAACTTCCAGGCTAAGACAGACTCAGAAGGAAGAGGTCATCCACTTCTCAAACAATTGGCCAGTGAAAACCTTATGAATAGCGAAACACTGTCTGATACATTACTGGAAAACTTTATGAATGACCCTGAAACACTGTCTGATATCCGTTCAGAAGATGAGCCCATCAGGTAGGAAGGGACTCAAAATCTGATTGGGGAAGAACTGACTCCTCAGATTAGAGACAACCTAAACGATATGGATAGAGTAAAGCTTTTGGGACCTCCACTGGCTGATGTGGCATGACTCAAAATGAGTAGAAACAGATGCAAACATTCATTAATAATTGGAACACAGAATGTACGAGGTATGAATCTGGAAAATTGGAAGTTGTCAAAAATGAAATGAAATACAATGTATAAAGATTGATATCCTAGGCATTA